GGAGTCGGATTTTTCAAATGACTGGAACACTGAAATTACAAGGTTGTAAGTAATCTTATCTTATCTGGTAGTTCCAAGTAAAAATGCATAAAAGGGGCCTAAGTGACCAAATTACTAAAGCTGGCATACTGTGTTAGCCTATGTTTGTGGTAAGTTTGTTGAATATTTTTTGGGAAAGTATTTACCGAAAATGATTATAAGCCCACCTGGATTTTTTGTTGCACTTTGAACAGAAGTATTAACTTAAAATACGACCTTTGAGAAGTCTACAAAAATTTGCTGAACAATACTTTAAATCAAAAATATTACCTTTAAACGTGTTTTATTAGTTTTGGAAAGAATTTGTTAATAATTGTAGTTTTAAAGTTTTACTTCGGATCCCGAATTCCGGCCGGCAATTAAAACTTTCTTTCCTTTCACCTAAGTCACCGCATCATCATTAAAATGATTTCTGGTTCTTACACAGAAAAAGTGAGAGTCCTCAATATAACCCATCCTGTCTTGAACATTCGGTTTCTTACGATTGTCTATTGAATCGACTACAGCTTAGTGTGGCATTGTTTTTAGTTCAAAAGATCTTTAATTTGATATTCATGTCAACATATGCTTACATATTACATTTAAGAATCTCGGCTTAGTCCTCGTGGACCGTCCCCATTGGAGGTTGAGAGTAAAATAACCCATGAAAAATAAGATGTTTAGGTCTAAGAAAGATGGGTAAAAACATTCTAAAACTTAAACTGTTTTTGTTTTTTTTTTATGGGGAAGGGACTTTGCCCTGTATGACACTAATGACAATTCACACGGTTATGATTCAATAAATACCTACACTATTCTCGAAATAGATTAGACCAGTTTGTAGAAACTCGCTGGTTAACCTGGCAAAAACGGGACTGGACTTCACACAACCAGTTGTGGTGCCAAACGAAAGTGGCCGACTGTCTACGTCACTCGCAGGCTCAATGAAATTCTGACCACGCTAACTATCATGTGAATAATGCCATTTCTTTCCTACCATCAGCATAGTTATAACTGTATGATCTACTATGAGGTAGGAAATCTCCCATTTTAAACTACACTATAAGAATTAAATACCCCCGCCATAGCAAACCTACAGACAAAAACGCCACTGGCGTAGATTCAAGCAAAAAAAACGAATTTCCATTTGCCCGATTGGATTTTCATTTAAATATTTTCTGAATATTTCCTTAGGTTTGCTGCTACGAGAGTTCCGTAATTAAGTGTGTTTCAGTCAACATTGATCGCTTAACATGAAATAAATAATTTTGAGAAGTTTGATCAAAATTCCATAAGTTATTTCATTGGATTGTTGTATGGGGGACATTTCATGGGAATAAATCGAGATTATTGATATGCTTCTCTTTTAAGAATTATTTTTTCTAATCCACCACAAATCTGGGCTGGTGCCAGAGATCAAAATATAGCATGCATTGGATTCCATTTCAAAGCATCCATTGTTAATATCAGAGATAATTTTACAGTCTTTCGAATTTATGAAGGGATTTCTAATTCAATTTAAGATCTTTAAATGGCATTCATTCATAAGAATTCCACCTGAAAGTGAGACGAATTGCGTTCTGCACGTAGTGTATTAATGAACCTCTATTCCACTTCGGATTGATTTGTCACTGCATCATAAATATTCTTTGACTCTGGTGGCTCCTTGGTATTTAAAAAATCTCTCCTCCTTATTCTTTCCAAATTTACATCATATAGACAAATAAAGTTTTCTAAAAGGTTCTTGAACGTGAAAGCGGTCGCAGTGTTAATTTGCTTACGGGTTTGTGAGTTTCGATTTCGTATCCAAAAATCAATGTAGGAATAAATTTCGAGATATTTCGATATTTCTAAGGAACTATTGATGGTTGGTTACTTCTTATAGGCATTGAGAATGTAGTATGTTCTACTGTCATAAGTATCAAAATACGATCATTTGATTTAGCTTTAAGTTAAGGTCCTTGTTAGCCGATGATTATTAAATTATATATAAAATCTGAGTAAAATATTTATGGCAATAAAGTGTACAATTTCATCTAACAAACAAAACTCTAGTTTAATGAATGACGTATTTGATAGCCATGAAACTAAACCGGTCGATTCATCATGAAATTTCTGAATAATTATTAGCATTATCTCACCGTCCGCAGATCTTCAGCAAATAATTATCATCATCCAAGGCAAAGGACTTCTCTGGAAAGATAAATTTGCGGTCATGTGTGTCACGGTTAGCTGCATCTCAACGATTCAAAGGACGATCTTTTTATCCTTTTCACTACCGATGGGCATAATTAATGGTAGCTTGCAAAGTACAAAGTTATTTCATTAACATTACAGCTTAAGATTTGTTTGTCAATTTTAAGTGCTTTGAGAAGTTATTACAACCTTTTCTTAATAGTTGCTAGCTTAATGAAGTAGGAAAATTAACTATATCACGACGCGACTTCAAGTTTTAAAATTTGCATATAAGTTTTAGGCTTAATTTTTTTAAAAATAACACTGCATACTTTACACTCAGACTAATAAATAATTAAATTGTAAAGTCTGGTCAACCATTAACACTAGAGCGTAAAAGTAGTTTCTCACCTTACTGTAAAATTAAAAATCTGTATTGATTGATGTTTTTGTGACTTTGTTTTTATGTAGTTATGTTTGAGTGCACTGATGTTAACCAAAGGATTTTCTCTTAATTTAGGGACGTTTTTTTCAATTTTGTGCGTACTATTTGGTTGTCATATTAGAGGACGAACAATAGTTGAGAGAGAAGAAAAGAATTTATTTATAAAAATAAATACCTCTGCCTTAAACAATAAGGTTGCCAATGACACAGAAAAATAGTACACATAAAATATCTAAGGATTATACAGCTATAAGACTGATTAATTTTGATGTTTGCCATATAGATGATTTCTCATTATGGTCAATGAACCTCTTAATGTTTCATGAATAATAATTTTCAAAAAGGATCTGTCCAAATCATATTGTTTCCAAAAGTTCACAAAAAATTTTGATAATGTTCCTCTAGAACCAATAAACAATCCAATCACCTCAATTTTTGAAATTTTAAAATTTTGCTTGAAATATTCAAAGGTAGAATCATAATTTTTTTTCTTTTCTTCATTTACTTCGTTGGCTTGATTTATGTTTGTTTCAAATCGAATTGTAGGATCGAGATAAATTGGGTTAATAGAATTATGGATTTGGATTTATGTTTTTTCTCTGGGTTTACGTAAAAATGCACTGTCTCAAACTACTGTACTGCAACCAAAACTGCACCATTATTTCAATAAAGTATAATCGAAATACCATCGGAATCTCCAACAATAAGACTTATTCGACCCATACTACATCACTATTACTCTATTTTAACTCACCAAAACTGATCATTTTCCCTTTATATTATTACTAGCTGTACCCGCGGGCTTCGCCCCGTTTAACTTCATAAGTATTCGCATGGCTCATTCACGTCCTGGTTGAAGTTCGTTCGCTACGCTCACTCACCTTTAGGTTGGAGCTCGTTCGCTGCGCTCACTTGCCTTCAGGTTAGCTCGTTCGCTACGCTAACTCGCCCCCAGGTTGAAGTTCGTTCGCTACGCTCACTCACCTTTTGGTTGGAAAGTAGCTGTTGTCATAAATAAAAAAATAATAGTGCTGCACCCTGTTGGTAATACTTGTAACTTTTATGTTATTGAACATCATAGAACAGAACCAACTTGTTTAATTGTAACAGCTGTTAAGATTCATTAATTACTTTAAAATATGAAAAACTAGCAGAGTACCCGTCCTTCGTACGGGGTTGGAATATAAGTATAAAATGCTTATTGCAGTTATACTCAAGTTTTGCGTTTGCAATAAGCGAGAACCAAGTTTGATAATTTTTTTTTTTTTTTAATTTACAGTATTCTATAGTATTACACATCTACCATAGCCATAATGTTCTACCACTTCACCTAAACAATAGAGAAAAATAAATTATCAACAATTCGCAAAATATCACAAATTATTCATGAAACGAAAAACATAAATATAACTGTAAACAATCCTACTTTGAGAGTTCTCATTACGAATCACAGTTTTTTGTTGCTGCTTAGTTCAAATTAGCTGTTTTCATAAATGCAAAAAAAATATAGTGCTGCACCCTGTTGGTAAATCTTATAACTTTTTAATGCTTTTCCATATCATAGAACCAACTTTTAAAGTTGAAACAGCTGACTAAATTCTTTAATTCCCTTTAAATATGAATACTCATAAGGTTAACATGGGGAATCACAGAGCCACTGGGGCGGAGCCCGAAAGGATTTTTGAGACAAGAATATGCCTATATGTTAATCGGGAATGTAAGCTATCATCATGCCAAATTTCAGCCCAATCCGTCCAGTGGTTTATGCGTGATTGAACTTCAAACAAACAAACAAACAAACAAACAAACACACAAACTTTCACATTTATAATATTAGTAAGATCATAAGATTAACATGGGGAACTACAGAGCCACTGGGGCGGAGCCCGAAAGGGTTTTTGAGATAAGAATATGCTTTAATGTTAATCGGGAATGTGAGCTATCATCATGCCAAATTTCAGCCCAATCCGTCCAGTAGTTTGTGCGTGATTGAGCAACACACACACACACACACACACAAACATACACACAAACTCACAAACTTTCAGATTTATAATATTAGTAAGATAACCTGGAACAATGAGTACGAAACTAGGAAACCCATCCAAGAATACCTAGGTTAATGACCGTTTATGCTTCTCTAGGTTAATAACCTATTCAACCCTTCTGGCGAGCCTCAAGGCAGTAGGCTTAGTCCACTTTTCTTTTCTTGCGTCATGGGCTCCTAGATAGCACCCTCGCCTCTAATTTTTGCCGGTGTAAATAATATTAACGCGGCCATGGAGATGGTGGATTGCGACAGGGAGAAAGCAAGAAGGGGCAGGATGTATTAGCGGAGGGTCCAAGACTACTCTCTCTTGGTCCTCAGTCTACCACGGAACATCACAGCTGCATAGCAACCCAGCGACATGCTGCCCAGGTATGTGTGTGTGTGTTGTGATCAGTGTAGTTGTAAGCGGAGGATTCGGTGAGTTGAAATTTTTTTTACAAAAGCTATGTAACAGTTTGTGGTTATTGTATGTTACTCAAATATTTTTTTTCAATGGTAAGTTTTCTGAAGCCACATTTTCCTCATAGAATCTTGAAAAAAAAATGTTAGACACAAATTTCGATTGTGATTTTAAAATTCCTTATATTGTTTTCCTACTTTTCCCACTCTAATGAAGTTTTGGTAATCTAAGAAAATCGTAAATATATTTGTTTCACTTAAACCACTTGTTTTGTAACACCAAATGTATTTGTTTCTTATGTAGTTTTGTTTACAATAATAGGCCTATCTTAGAACTGATAAATTTTCTTATGTATAACAATAAAATACATGATTACGTTTTATTTAGCACCCCTAGCTTTGACTATCGATTTCAAAACACTACTGGATTTTATCTTATATTATTTTCTAGAAACTGTAAATTAACTCAGAAATGTTTACAAATTTATCATGATTACCATTTATTCTGAAAACACCCTTATTGTGTAGTGTATGGTGCATTTATAGTTATGTAATCTTTCAAAACCTCAATCTTCTGAAAGAGAGGAAAACTAAAGAGCTAAAATATTTGTTTTCACAGAAATACGTAGAATAAAACAACTACAATTTTGATATACTCCTTTATAAGTAGTTTGGTCCCTTTTCTGTTGAGCTTCTAACTCGAGTGTCTAAACTTTTCCCCCGACGCAGTAGTTGATTCCGATTAAGAGCGTAGAATAATTGCCTAATTCTAAAACCAAAAGTGCATTTAAGACTACAAAATATGCGTCCGCAGTACTACTAAAATAGTTTTTCTGATAAAACTGGTAAAACTGTCTGATTATGGTGCAGTAATTACTTTATTTAAACTGTGGACAACTTTAAAACCTATTTGCTAGAACTTATCTTCACTTTATAAACTCATTTCAATCCCCAAGATTATTTCATACTTACGATCCAGTTTTACACTAAGTGAATGACTTTACTTTTTTATTTGACTAACACTTACTCGAAACAACAGGTTGAAATCAAAGAGAAGGAGGTCTAGTTGAATTGTGAACTTCTCTACAAGAACTGTGATAGGATCTTCAAATATGGCTTGTGCCCTAAGGTAGGAGAAGCTCTGTTACGTGGCATGTCCTAATTTGGTGCAAGATGTCTAACTGATCTTTAAGGGGTGATTCCAATTGTTCTATATTGTAAATGGTGTTTTTAACACGACCCAAAATTAAAAGTACCCAAGTCATTGTTTAAAGACAAAATAAGCTTGTAAGTTTGCATCCATGCTTCCACTACTTCGTTACTGATCAGCTGATATGCATTTTTGCATTGTTGTCCACACGGATTGGGATCATTGGTAATTTATTGCGAATTCTCTCTAAAACGATATTTTTATTTAAGATTGGTAATGTACAAAGTTTTATTTGTATTTTTACAGCTTACAGAATCCTTAGTTATTTATTAGGAAGTACAGACACACCCCGGTAAACTTATTTGCAAACATTTCTAAGTATACAACGAATGATTTACTTCCAATGTATTTTCTACAATTCTTACTCATAGAGCTTGCAAAAACGCCTTGTTAAGTCTTCTAAATAAATTCTACAACTACACTAAACTGTGGAGACAACAATGCTGAAATGCATATTAGCTGGTAAAGGAGTAAAGGAAACAGAGCTGTTTTTGTCTGGAACGTATGAGCTTGTTTTGTTCATTGTTGTTTTGTTGTTATTGTGTTGTTGTTTTGTTCCCCGTGCTTGTAATTTGGGTTGTGTTAAAAAAAAACCTGTACCGTATAGCCTCCAGTGTCCGGCCCATTAACGGTGTTGAAAATTATGTAAATATCAACAAAGTCACGGGAATAAGTACTAATAGTAATCCGATGATGGAACTCAGTACTGTAATTGGTTTTGGTGCGGAATTGCTGCCCTGCACAAGCTAAACAAATTATATCTTTAGGTATATCATCTGATTCAGATAGTTTTTTGTTTCAATGATTTACTTTGCTAGTAGTATATTTCGTACCTAGGGGAAAAAATGAGGTTTTGCCGGCTTGAGATGGTTTTCTAAGTTCAAAACGAAGTCGAGAACTAAAAACGACCGAGAGCTGCAAAACCATTTCGGTCCGTGGTACAATGGTGGTACTAACGCTATTTTTCACCACACTATTCCCTATTATCAATATTCACAACAATAATAATGCACACTGATATGGTCAACACAACTAAAACTTTAAGGTTTGGTTAAGCCTTGATAACAAATCTTATTTAATCTTCATGAGAGTCTTGTTATCGAGGTTCTTCTAGTTTACTCTAGAGCGGACTCTGGATATTCTTTTCCTTTTCTCTTACGTCATCGTGGCAGTCCTCCTCTGAAGGCCGCAGGGTACCGTGTATCCCTTTTAATCCGTTACTGAAACAACACATTTATATTGCCCTCGAAAAACAACGTGAGTGAATATTTTTAACTCATTGTTTTAATGTCTAAATTATTAACTCGTGAGATCTTTGTCGTTTGGGATCCGTCATTCATTATAACTAAACACTTGGACAATATCGGTTAAGATTTACTATATACATGGATATATCACCAATATATTTATTTTGGTATATAGTAGTTGTTGATTTGTATAACGTACCTATCTAAGCCAGGGGCGTTTATCGACGTGTTTTGTAAGGGAATCGGTCCAACCCCTAATCTGGTGACTATCTGATGTCGACCTTTGTTAGAAAGCATAATCAAAAAAATATAGCATCTGGGTTTAGTAATAATCTCACTTGAAATCGAACCCAGCGACATCAGAAAAGCACCACTCGGCTACACAAACAATAAATTCAATGCAATGTATAAGTGTGCATCCACTTCTATGATTAAAAAGGAGTTTTGACTTGTACATTAGGAACTGATCTGTTGTAAAAAATTGTCTGGGTAAAAGAAAGTTAATTCTTTTATTGAGATGGCTTAAGTGGTTCATTGATTTAAGTTTAATGTAGGACATTTAATGGTAGAACCAGAGCTAATTAATTATATTACTTCATCTATGTTAGAACGATTGTTAAATGGGTCACGTGTTTGACGCCATCACACAATAATCTTTTTATATTATATCATTGCATATTGTGTACTCTATGGCTATATAACATTAAGTGTGTAATCAATGATTTAATGAAATACGATAGTTAGCTGAAATTGTACTCTGATTCTTTTACTACAGTAAAAATGGCTAAGATGGTATAGTTATAACTAAAAAAAGTAGATCCATTGGCCATCTCAACAGATTGCACCACGTTTTTTTGCGTATGGGTAGTATATCATAGAGCCATTCTAGAAAAGTAATAACCTTTTTAAATTGTGAAATAATCCCAGACAACTTTTTTCAAGGCAAATGAGATGAAAACCAGCAATGTCGGAAAGAAATGGTTCATGTGAAATTCCGAGGACTAACCTTACTCGTCACAATTTGGAAACTTATCATTCTCTGCTCGATGTCCGCCATTTTTCCTGATATATCTATATTTCGCCGTTGACTTTGAATACTGAAGTATATATCAAATAAAATATTCCCTGAGTTTTCATATGATGATACATGATGGACTTACGCACACGATTATAGTAAATTGTCCGCTTGGTTTTGCATGATTAAAAAGTAGGTGTAAAGAAATTAAAGTAGACCCATTTAACAGTAGCACTCATTCGGTGGCTTAATTAAACCAAGTTTTGATTGGCTTATAACTGATAGTAATTTTAACACGGGAAAATCGTTTTCATCACTCTGTATTCGAAAATAGCCCATTTACATACAGTTGAGATCTTCGAAAATCCTCAATTTCCATACACCAAATAGTGACAGCTGACTTTTCCTGACATAAACATAACAATATTACTTTCGCTACACAATAAATACTTTGCCTGACATCAAGAAAGTTAGAACTGAATTAATAATATTGTTTTAAGTTTGATGAAGTAGTTTTTTTTTTTCATCGTGATAAAAAATATAGATCAATGTTCGTCACGAAAGTCCCCGATTTAGTGTTTTACATGCGAGTCGAAAGTAGTGAAATATACCATTACTTTATCATAGTGTTTCTATGGTCAGATGTGTTTCTTAAAATTATGAGAGTAGTTTTGAAAACTCTGAAATCAAACATTCACCTAAATTTTTAGGATAATTTATTATTAGGTCTATTATTATTATTACCATATGAGATGGGGGCGCCACCTATGTGCTTATTTTAACCCAAATATGAGTGAAGGGTGTCTTGTGTAGCTTTGTTACTGACTAACATCAGCAGTTTCATTAGTCAGGACCATTTATTGAAAGCCCAAAGATCAAGGGCATCAGGCTCTATTACTTATTTATTTCAGTATGGTATAAAGTATTCCTAAAAGTATGTTTAGGTGGTAGAGGTTTGTTTTTACTGTCTCATTCCGGATATGACATTTATGTTCTTAATTGCCGCTGCTGGGCGTGGAAAATAAAACTTGGAGATTTCCTCTTGCTTCTACGAAAGTAAAATGTATAGACAAACTAACCACTTTAGTTCGAACAGTAAGCGTATCACAACAGCACAATCACTATAGATCTTATTTAATTTTTATCACCTTACCAGTTTTGTAAATAAATTACGAACGAAATTTCCTCAAATTACCTGCTTTAAAAATACCTTCACTATAAACATGACATCTGCACGCTGTAACCTATGTTTCCTTTTTTCATTACTAAAATTCATTATGACTAAAATTCCGTTCGTCTGTTCTTCAAGACCCATATTTTGTCTTCATAATATTCTCACACAAACATACTTTCTAAATCCAAAACCTACAGCATTACCTAAGAATTAATAAAATTATATTAACAACATGATGGACAAATGACATTAATTCCTTCCATTCCTTCCGTAGTCGTCAACTGTTTTCTTTCACTGAGGGCATCTTCTTGGTTTCACAATAGTTATAACCAGGATGATCAATAGTTATGTTCATCTGTGATCGTAAAAGGTATGTTAAATCCCTTAAACTTCATCCAAATCTTCAAACATTATTGTTCCCGCCGCGCCGCCTTCATTTCGACATACCTAAAAGCTCACAATGCGGCAAGTCGCGCCCGGAATGCTAAGGGCTTTGAGCGTCTTGAATACAAACACAACAATTACCGTCTAGGACAATGACGTAAGATGACCTGGATAAGTCAGCTGACATTTACATCACATCACCGGCTATAATCAGCTGATTGCGGCGACTAAAACAGCTGTTAATAGTTATAAAACATGTGATGTTGTCAATAGGTACGGTCGTGATCGTCCTTCGGCCTTTCTCTAGACCGACCTTGTCTTCGTGTCGTCTTCGGTGGCGCAATACGTGTAAATTAAGCAATCTGGACTACTGGATGACTCTACCAAGGTTAATACGTAATGTGATGACTGTCCCGGGTCTTTTATGTAACGGTCTGATCGTGAAGATGAACTTGTAAAAGTTTATGACTACGTGATGATTTAACACGAGCTTGTTGGTGACTCAGAAATAAAAATATAGCCTTAAGATATTTGTTTACGTTTTATCGAACTTTTTAAGTGTTGGTCATGTGTTTTAATCATTACTGATTGATGAAACAGCTGATCTTAGTCAGTAACAAAACTACACATATCATCTCACACCATTCTACACTCCTCCTTCACTTATATTTGGGTTTAAATACGGAAAAAGGTGGCGTCTCCATCTCAATGATTGGATAATGAATGGATACTAACTATCACAGAATTAGATGGTATATTAGAATAGAATGGATAGTACCAAACTTACCAGATTAGCGATAAATAAGTCTTGGAACATAACCTAGAAAATACCAATGAAGTTATAGTATATTAAAACGTAGGTACTTTTATTAAATCTGTAGAATTCTGCCATTATGATTTCAGCGAAAATCAACCTATCATTAAAATAAGATGAACTATAAACATGGTTAAATCGCACTTAAAATTTATAGCCAGATTTGATTTACCTTTTGTGAATATATTCCTTCAAAGCATTGTTGAAACTTGCATTTGCTAGTCCACATGGAGCTCGGAGACTTAGGTGAATTCAAGCATTAATTCTGTTCAGGTGTAAATGACG